TTCATCTGCGGATACTTTGGCGTACTTTCAAGCATGAATATAGAAGGAAATCAACAATTTTTTTTCAGTATCGTTCCAGACTTTGCAAGAAATTTATATAATAATCACAGTGTTCACTACTCTTGGGTTCAAAAATTATTTATGATCATTCAAAATATAGTGGCCATGGCTGTCGGTTCAACCCAGTACTGACCTTCACCGCTATTGCGACACCACAAGCAGAGAAAAGGAAAGCTGAATCCCCGCGTCTACACTTAATTCATGTATAAGGCAGACACCCGACAGCAACAGCAAGGAAGTTTGTCAGTTTTATTCAAGATATAAATTTTCTATTTTACGCATTGGAGCTACACAATGTGACTGAAAGCACTTCCAATGTGATCTAATTTGCAAACAATCTCTTTGCACACGACTCCCAGTGTCTTCTCGAGCAGACAGTAATGTTTCACATTTGTTTTCGCATGGTTTCCATCTTACTCAAATAAAACGAAGCAGTTGATTTCTATTTTACTTAGTGTTTATTCTTGTTTGATATTTTTAAACAAAAATGCACTGATTAAACAAATAGTAAATATGCGAGTTTTTTGTTTTTGACGAACAAGGACAAGGAAGACAAAATGGCAGTAGTTTTGTGTAGGGTCGATCGCGATCTTCGGTTTGTATCAAAAGCACGTCTCACAAACGAAATATTTTTTTTCGAGCGATAATTTGATAGCAATTATAAAACAAATTTCAATCGTTGGCGTATGTAAGGGCTGGATCACTTACTTTCAGAGGCTCAAAGTCCGGACGAACATTAAACTACGATGTTTTTATTTATCTGTTCTAGGTACATTGTGTATGTTGTACAGACTTTTTAGTTGTACTATTTTGATGATTTAATTTCAAGAATCTATCAAGGAACAATCTGTTGTTACTTTACATGTTCACATAGGTTTAATTTAGCAGATTTTACTTGTCAGCGAAAATAGCGAAATTTGCCCATTGCGTCAGGAAGATCTATCCCGATTTGCTGCACTGAGGTTAATTGCGGTTTTTACTATTCCATCGCTAATGACACTAATTACCAAGAATTAATAAAAACAAGTAAAATTAAGTCGCATTGGGAAAAAAACCCATAAGAAAATCAAAGCAAAAATTATTCAACTGCAGACGAGACCTCTGGAAATACTTCATTTATAGAGTGCCTCATTAGTGCCCTTTGTTTACAAGTATAGTGTCCTTGCATGTTTTTCAAAATGCCCATATCAAAATCATGTGTTTCCATATACAGTATGTCATAGATTCTCAGACATCTTGATCAATTTTATTGATGGATTGACCTACATGCAATTACATTCACTTATTAGGCAAAGCCTATACCTTTATAATACATGCTCTGATCACACGGGAGCTATTTACAGTTTAACTTTGATTGGCATTTTTTGGTACAAAAGCATATTTTTGACTTTTGAAAATTGAGCTAGTTGGAGATGCGCAGATGTAAAATATATAGTTTGATAATTAACTGTTTTATAACTTTTCATTACTGTTATTATTTCAGGTGTGTCTGACAGTGGTGTTGATGATGAAGAAGGTAGTAGCTTCCAGGATTTAATGAAAAGTATAAAGTAAGAACAATGCAGTTATTGTTACCAAGATGCTACTATATTATAACTTACAAATGCTGATTCCAAGTGAGAAAGATCTGGAGAGAATACATGGTTCTTTGCTGGAGTCTATAAGTTTTAACCCTCCATTCCCAACCAGATCTTGGTCATGTATTGAAAGATTTTGTTTGAACTTGGATTCACAATAGCCATTATTTTAACTTTTAAAATGGTCTCCATTTTGCCATTTCGAGTTGCATTGTTCAATGAATATGCATCATGATGTATGTGTGCAGTGTGAACATTCTTGGCTAGGGCATATATCAGAAAGAAGGAACTCAAATAGCATTTCTGAAATCAATGACTGCCAGTTGGTCTGAATAACGAAAAATAATCCAAGAAAATGGAATAATTTTTATTGTAAATAATAAACATTGTTAGTGTACAATGAAATCCAGATCTCAGTCATGAATGGAGGGATTTAGTTTTAAATTACTCCATACATTGGACATTATGGGGTCTTGATGCAAGATATTTTTTTTTTCAGATCAGATTCAAAATATTCGACTGGTGGCCATTCTATTTAAATTAAAGGACAGTGGTTGACGTGCCGCGTCCTGTTCGAAATGGGACTCATAGCAACATATATGCATTGTGCATAGAAAATACATTGTTTATTTACGTACAATTCAAACATGCGCTGCGAGACGACCACCACCCTTTAACATATTTAATGGCAGAGTTTGGACATGCCTTGACTGGGCGTGTTAACACTTGCATCATACATCAAGTCCCACATGTGCACATGTTTTCGTTTGACAATTCAATTCAAGATGGCTGAATGGTGGCCATTTTAATGTTAAAAATTCATCGAAATCCAGCTTTTCTGTCATTCTGGTGCAAGATTTCACTTGTATGTATTGATGTTTCTCTTAAACTTAGAACAAACATTGGACAGAATAGGAGTCTCATGGTTGTCTGTTTGTTTTTCAAGTTGGATTCAAAATGGCCGCAACAAATGCAGTTCTGGAGCTCCATTTCTGACATGTCAGTTAAAAATTCATAAAAATCTAGCATTTCTACAATTCTGAGCCTGAATTATGGTCATTCATACATGTAGACAGAATTTGTTCAAACTTGGTACATGTATATACATTGGGACCGTAATGCACGTCACTCTTTTGTCTGATCGTACTCAAAATGGCTGACTGTTGGTCATTTTGTTTTAGTGTATGCAGTTTTGAAACCATATCTCTGACCATTCATGTTCAAATCTTCTATATTTCTTCAACTTGAAAACTCGTGGGGACTATGTATGCAAATACTTTGATATGAAAACAAATTTCCTACTTTCTAGTCTTGTCCAGTTTTCTATGCATGTACAATGTACTACTGCACAGCAAAACTTGGTTGACAAGAGTAAATTTTAAAGTGTGTAAATTAATGATGGGACTGGCTACATTGTCATCAAATATCGAGATGCAAAAGAATAAATAATTAATTTATAAACTATCTTTATGTTTCATAATTTTTGGTCCATTAGATAGATCTATGCACTTCTCATAGCAAATACTGTAAAATACTTTATTTCCGCTTGGGATTTATTTTCGCTTTTTTCGCTGAAGGGCTGATTCAGTGAAAATAAATTCCATACAATACACCCAAAAAAGCCTTTTCAGCGAAAATTAATTCCAGCGAAAATAAAGTATTTTACAGTACAGTAAATTCAATGTTATATACAAATGAAGTAAACAAAGGCTCAAACATGCACTGACCGTGTTTTTGACTCCCATGTGCGAAGCACAAAATGGGAGTCTTTGCAGTTAGTGTGTGTGTATGTGTGTCCGACTGTTCCACTGCTATCTCAAGAACCATACATCGTTTTTTGATGAAACTTGGTGCATAGATGCTCTGGGCCAATGCGCAGATTTGATTAGGTTTTGGTAAAAATCCATGCTCGTTAATTACCTAATTTGCATGATAATTAGCTAATTTTTAGCTATTCTATGACTGTTCCACTGATATCTAAAGAACCACTCATTGGATTTTGATGAAACTTGGTACATAGATGCTCTGAACATATGCGCAGATTTGCTTAGTTTTTGGTAAAAATCCGTGCATATTAATTACCTAATTTGCATGATAATTAGCTATTTTTTAGTGGTTCCATGACTGTTCCACTGATATCTAAAGAACCACTCATTGGATTTTGATGAAACTTGGTACATAGATGCTCTGAACATATGCGCAGATTTGCTCAGTTTTTGGTAAAAATCCGTGCATATTAATTACCTAATTTGCATGATAATTAGCTATTTTTTAGTGGTTCCATGACTGTTCCACTGATATCTAAAGAACCACTCATTGGATTTTGATGAAACTTGGTACATAGATGCTCTGAACATATGCGCAGATTTGATTAGTATTTGGTAAAAATCTGTGCATATTAATTACCTAATTTGCATGATAATTAGCTATTTTTTAGTGGTTCCATGACTGTTCCACTGATATCTAAACAACCACTCATTGGATTTTGAGGAAACTTGGTACATAGATGCTCTGAACATATGCGCAGATTTGATTAGTTTTTGGTAAAAATCCGTGCATATTAATTACCTAATTTGCATGGAAATTAGCTATCTTTTAGTGGTTCCATGACTGTTCCACTGATATCTAAACAACCACTCATTGGATTTTGATGAAACTTGGTACATAGATGCTCTGAACTAATGCGTCAGTTTTGATTAGTTTTTGGTAAAAACCCGTGGATACTTAATTACCTAATTTGCAT